TATATATATATATATTTTTTTAATTCTTATTTATTGATTTATTTTTTAAAAATAAGCTCTATGCCCAATGTGGGGCTTGAACTCATGACCCTGAGATCAGGAGTCACATGCTCTACTGACTGAGCCAGTCAGATGCCCCCGAATACACACTACATTAAAACAAAGCAAAACACAGAGGTGGTTGAGTGATGGAGAGGTTAGGAGAGATCACAGGGGGACATAATTTTAGGGGTAACTCCAACTAACCCTAATAACATCCCACCCCACCATAGGACTGAGCCCCTTGTGGAAGTTCATCAACAGCTGAATGTCTTGATTACTATTTCATGTGCATTTCACTTTGGTTTGAACTAGAGATTGAACAGAGTCTAAAGATAAACAAGTTACTGAACATTCATTTGATACACATAATAGCATCATTCACCCATTACAAAAAGCTCTGTAAGTTAACACTGCCTACTTTCAACCAGCTGGGATTTTTCAGAAGGGGCATTCTTTAGCTGTATCTCACAATCTGTTTTCCTCAAAGACACTTCCCAGGCATACCTGCTCATCATAGGCTTCGTTGACAAAAGTCTCACTATTCATTAGATTCTCCTCTTCTTGGCCATTTTCTTTATGGCGGGTCGAATTTTTTGATGCTGCTGCACTATTTCTAAGAATCAAAGAAACAGAGTCAAAAAGAGTTGTTCCAAAAAAAGAGTTGTTCCTTGAGGTTGAAGCTGGGATGGGTGGTTGGTTGGAAAGGGCCAGCTCAACCCCTATCAAAGGCTATTGTTATGGGAATTATGTTCTGTCTTTTGAATGAATCAAATGACCTAGAACGGGTGATACTTGAGTCAATTATGATTTGTTACTAGGCATTCACTTAACTTCCAAAATAATCCATCTTCTCAACTGGGGGACTCTACTAATTGGGGTCAAGCAGAACAGAATCCAAGGACAAGTTAGTGGCGATTGGATGCAGGTGAGCTAAGAAACCAGATTAATGTGGTAGAAAGACCTGAGGTGACCATCAAAACCCCATGGGTGGCATTTCAGTCCGTCTTAACATTAGTAATCTATTAACCAGGGTTACCTTGGCCAAAGATACACCATTTCTCCTCGCCTTTTTCTTCAGTCTGTGAGTGCTGGACAGAGCTGTCTCTCTATTTCTTGATACATAGGCTGCTTAATGTCCCTTCTCAGCATATGAGTGGACCCTAACCAGCATGTGTAACCTAATCAGTGTCTTCCGTTACTATAATTTCTTATACTAAAACCACTTTTGTCATCATTCCTACTCTAAGCCAGCATTTTGTTATTCTTGTTTGTTTCTTTAATCTCTCTTGCTCTCGGGCAAAACTTAATGTGTTTGCTTTAAATCTTTCCCGAGTTCATTTCACCTCCTGCTATGGGCTGAGTTGTATCCCCTCCAAATTAGTATGTTGAAGGCCTACTCTCGAGTACCTCAGAGTGTAACCCTTTTTTGGAGATAGAGTCTTTAAAGAGGTAATTATGTTAAAATGAGTTCATCAGTTTGGGCCCTAATCCAATATGACTGGTGTCCTTATAAGAAGAGATTAGGACACAGGCATGTACAGAGGAAGACCATGTGAAGACACAGGGAGAAGTCTGCATCTATAATTCAAGGAGAAACCAATCCCACAGACACACCGATCTCAGACTCCCAGCAACCAGAACGAAGAAAATAAATCCGTTGTTTAAGAAACCCAGTCTGTGGTGTTCGTTATAGCAGCCCCGGCAAACTAACCCATCTCTGAATTTTTTTCTCCAGTCACCGGCACGAACTCTGCCTCGTTGGTAACGAATCCCATCACTTCATCCCTGCGATTGAGCCACTGGCTGCTGCTGGGGCAGATTTTACCTGCACGAAGGCCTCCTATCCCTTACAATAGCATTTGTCCCGGGGCTCAAAGAGGTGGCCTCTGTTGTCTCTCCGGGTCATCTGCTCCATCCCCTAAATCTTTCCTCAGAGGACAGGTTCTTAGGGGAAGAGTCATACCTCTAACCCCACTAATCCTATAAGCCTTCTTTGAAATGAACTCTCCCATGAGGACATTAAGAGCTGCTCACCTTTTTAATTTGTGTTCCCTTCTGAAACAGACAAATGCTCCCAGAGCGACTAGCACAACTGGTAAGACAATGGTTAAGCTGAGGGCGATGTAGCCAGGGGCAGGTCCACGAGCTGGCTCTTCACAGAACTCCCCGCCATATTCCATCGGACAGCGGCACTTCCTCAGCTCGCCTACCATTGTGCAGATTCCCCTCCCATTACAGAAATCCGTGCTACAGGGCAGATGTTTTGCCCTCTGTGAGTCCTTGGGCTGCACAAGCTCGCCTTTTTCCTTGGTTTCTGGGGTCTTGCTTTCTCCAGCAGGAATTGGAGGGATTAATGTTTTTCTGACAGGATAACTCATCCCTTCTGGACCCGGATATCTAGCCTTGGTGGACTTGGTAGCTTGGAGAGGTAGGGCAGCTTTTGGAGTCGACCTTTTTCCAGCCTCTGCATTTTTAGATGTTGGTGTTGAATGGGTTTTATCTGGATAGGTACCTACAGAAACAGGTATGAGTGTGGATATATACACATAGTTGTCAGTTAAAAAGGATTTCAGAAGAACAAGAACTCTAGAAGACTTAACCAGATAAGTTTGAATTTATGAAATCATCAAATCATTACCATTACCTTTTGGCCAACCAAAAAGCTATTAAAAACATATTTTAAAAAACTGCATATCCTAAGGCACTTAAAATGTTTGGTTTCGGGACCAGTCTATCATACCACTCTATTTTTAAATGATGGTATGCCCAGTTTTAGCCATGGCAGATTCCCTCAGCTACAAGAATATTTTCTTCTATAAAGCATAGTATGGTAGGTCTAAGTGGTAAATATCTAGAAAGATTTTTAAGATGTATGTTTATCTGTAAATTTTTTTTTTTTTTAGTCCAAGTAAACTGTTGGTTTCACGAGATCTATAAGCTGCAAATCTTGGACCAGATTTGGTGGCCGTAATGGGCAGGAGGGAGTAGGCAACAGGATGCTTCTAACCAACAATCTGAAAGTTAGGTTTGCGTGTAAGACCCTATCTCCCATCATTGTTGGCATAAGCATCGTTCCATACGAAAATACCAAAGACCAGACTACGGGGAGGGAAGGCAGCAGTGTTACCAGTAAAACCACCCGCTGCCTCTGCCTCAAGCTGGTGTTACAGGAGCGTTTCCACTCCTGGGCAGTTTGGTGTCCTTGACAGTTGGGTATATACAGAGGAAGGCAGTCTAGCTTTATATGCTCAGTACCATCCCCCCCGAAAAAGTTTCATGTACAAGTCAGCGTGAAATACTTATTGAGGAGTAGAGCCAACTCCTGGTCATCAGGATGGGAGAGGACGTGAGGGTGGGTTAGGCTTCCGGTTTAGTTCTAAACTAAAACCAGATGGGGACGGCGATCCATTTCTCACTCACTGACCAGCCTCCTAGAGTCACTATAACATGCGGCTTCTGAGAAAACCACCCTCATTCACGAGAATCAACTCTGGGAATCGAAATCTATTAACTTTTGTATTTAAGATGAAGTCATTAGGGGGAACAACTTGTATTCCAACTCCTCAGCTTTGAGGAAGATGAGGATTTAAGTTGAGAAGTCGGTAAGCACTCTTCACTGTAAGATTCCTTTTCCAGTTTGTTTCCTTACTAGTTATGACAAGTCTCGGGGCTGAGCCCACAGTTTCTTCAATTCCATGGCTTACATGACTTGGCTACCGCTGGAGTAGTGTAGAATTTGAGGATAGTGACTACCAGAGAATTGGATATCACAGTTGCTCAGCTGACTGGCCATGACAACACCCCTCCATGAAGGCGGTATCCGGCAGCAGCATTTCTGTAACAACCATCTACTAGCCAGCATTTAGGAAGTCACTTGACAGTGGTATGTGCTAATATGGCAGTTTTATTCACACTCTCTTGTATTCCGTAACTCTTTGAGTTAGAAAGTGCCATTTCTTTTTTTTTTTTTTTT